ATTTTTGTAGCTGGAATTTGCTAGATTTCTAACTATAGTAGATTATGGAAATGATTTTGAATGCTATGCTTTGCAACAAACTGAATATCTCTAATTCTTTATTTTTTTAATAGAACAATAATACTTAAAGACATGTGCTTGGTCTCTTGAGCAGATAAACTGCTACATTACTTAATTGGTTTTTCTTGAAGGCCACAAATTAAGCTACTTTGAGTCCAGTAATTGCCTGAGTTTTGAGAGCTCTGGATGACTCTAAGACTCATGATTTTAACTTGGTTTTCTCAGTGATTATTAAGTGGAAATAGACTTGGCAAAAGGGTGCCAGTGGGACAGCCTGGTTGAGACAAGGACTCATCTCAACTTAAATAGGGGTCAACTGGACTCTGAACCTCGCTATTCCAGCCTCAGCATTCTCTTGAATTGAGTTTAGTTGAGAGCTTACAGGCCCTACAGGTGAATGGCTATTCTAAGAATGAAATCAAAAGAGCCATCAAACCAAGAAAACAACTCCATACTGAAGAGGAAAAACAGCCACCCACAAATAAAGTATTTCTGCCATACAGTGGGGTCTTGACTTGAGAACTTAATCCATATTGGAAGGCGGTTCTCAAGTCAAAAAGTCTGTAAGTCAAGTCTCCAGTGACCTACAGTGCATTGAAAACCGATTAATCCCGTAACAGGCCGTTTTTGTTCCATTTTGGTTTTTTTCTGGTCTGTAAGTCAAACCTAAATTTTGCGGCCAGAGAAGTCTGTAACTCAAAAAGTCTGTAAGTCAAGCCGTCTGTAAGTCAAGGGTCCACTGTACATCAAAGGGGTCACGGACCGCATGGGAAAACTTTTGAGAATACACAACCTACAAACAGTATTCAGACCCACCACAAAAATACAACAAAAGTTACAGTCAGCAAAGGACAAAAAGGACCCCCTCACCACTGCAGGAGTACACCGGATACCTTGCAGTTGTGGACCAGGTATATATTGGAACTACAAAATCCAGCATTCACACCAAAATCAAAGAACATGAGAGACACTGCAGACTAAAACAACCGGAAAAATCAGCAGTAGCTGAACATGCCCTAAAGCAAGCTGGACATGAAATTCTATTTCAAAATACTGAAGTACTGGACAACACCAGCAATCATTATGTTAGACTGCTCAGGAAAGCCATTGAAATCCATAAACATCAGCATAGCTTCAACAATAAAGAGGAACGTCTGAAACTGAACAAGGCCCGGCTTCCATCACTGGAAAATACAGCCTACAGAAGGTCAGCAAACTCTACCCAGCCACAAGGACCAGGGATCATTTCACAAAAGAAACCAGCTAAAGATACCCATCAACCACAGTGACAGATAATCTCTCCCAATTATCACAACAATACAACCACAACAAAAACATGCTGATCACCCTGTCTACTGAAAAGGACAAAAGCTGTTCCCACAGCTATAAATACTCAACTATCCAACAAATAGCAACAGAGCATGGACAGAGTTCCAACTCCAGTCCTCTGAAGATGCCGGCCACAGAGACTGGCGAAGCGTCAGGAAGAAGAACCTTCAGAACACGGCCAAACAGCCCGAAAAACCCACAACAACCATCAGATCCCCGCCATGAAAGCCTTCAAGAATACATTTCCTCCTTTATCCAAATGTAAGAAGTCCCCTATTATTTTTATAGATAAATTTGCATTTCTTACTAAGACAGAGAAGGGCTGCAGTTAAGATGGTTTACTTTAAAGTCAAACTAATTAGATCACACAAAAGACTAACTTAACAATAGATTCAGGTTTCGAATTGCATTACACTGTGATATCCATGGGGATTCCTGTGAAACAATGTCTAGGAATGGCAATGCTTTCAGTTTAACTGCTTTTGTAGAGTAACCCAATAACTGTTGCTCACCTGTTTCTTTTTGCCTTCTGAAGTTAACACCTTGGTTACACCGATCCGATGCAGCATGACATGGACACGCTGTTCGAAGGAACTGGGCAGTTCAACATCACTCTTCTCAAAGGGCCTCTTCTGCAGGATAAAAAGCATGACAAAATCTGAGCATCCCCCTAGCTCAGCCTTATAGGCTTTCACTTCATTCAGCAGTGAGATTCTAGGTCTTCATGGCCTCTGTGAATCACACATATGGGATTTTGTAGTGCACATGCGCGGAACTTGAGAACGAATCTAGAGCTTAAAAGAATAGACTGTTAGTCCCCTCCCCTCCCAGTGCGCATGTATTGGCATGCAAATACCCAGCCCTCTCAGTTTATTTTAGCCACCGCTGTGAAAGGTTCTAGGAATGCTAGAGCTACTATTGGTCTCCATTTGTATTTTAGCATTTTGGCTTCTTTTTCTTATTATTCTTTCTTTGTTATTCTCTTTCTTTGCTTTGCTTGTTTAAAAAAAAGTTTTGTATATCACCCTTCCCATCCCCAAGAACATATTTTATGGCCCCCGGGGGACCATGTAAAAAGTGCATTGTTTGTGGCAGGAAGGTCCCTTTGAAGGACACTTGAAATACCTTTACTGTTTGGGTGAATCCCATCAGTCCCATTCCTGTCCATACTGCAACAAATTTTGGCCATCGGCTGTTAAAAACTGTTGATTTCTGCTAAACGTGTATCTGTTAGAGAAATCTCTGCAGCCGTCTTCTAAAATGAAAGATCCAGCCCAATCTGCCTCCCAATCACCCCATATTAAACAAGAGAAAACAACTTTTACAGCTCCCGAGTCTTCTGTTGCTTCAGTGCGATCTCTTGTCTGCGCCTGACATTGCAGTTAAAAAATTTAAAAGCCTCTCATCTAAGACTTCATCTAAGCCAGGGGTCAGGGAACTTTTTTACCCCCCCCCAAAGAAAAATATTTATATATGCCAACATTACCCCCTTGATTTGAAAGGAAGGAAATGACACATTATTTGAATTCAAAATCTTATTGAATCTCTCGGAGGATATATCATCAGTATCAATGGCTGCCAGGCTATGTACTGAACTAGCAGGATGCACCAAATTTAATAAAGATGTGCACTATTTTTGCTGGAACACATTGCACACCAGCCATGGGGTGGTATAGGGAGTAGTAAGGTGTCCAACATGCCTTGCAAGTTGCATTAAATTTTTGCTAGCTCATTTAATCATCATCAGTGGCTGGAAGACTGGTGCTAGTAATGACATGCTTGCTAGAGAGAGACAGCCAAGGCAGAATTTGGGGGTGGGGGGAGTGCCTACCACTTTAATCATTCTGTGTGTGGTGTGCAAAAAGGAACAAACCAGGCTAAAGGTCATGTCACCTACCCTGGTGCCACAGCCCAACATCAAAGGACCAATGCACTTTTTAAAATCATCATCAATCAAACTCAGTGTCATGGTTTAGGTTATTAAGGCTAAAATGTGGTTTATGAATGGGATTTGTAGTCATGGAATTTTGTAGAAGGAATCCATATTGGTCTTGTTAGCATGACTGGATGCTTTGAGAAGCCGTTTCTTCTCGAGCGAGCTGGAATTTTCTATGAAGCTGCCTTGGCCAGAGACGATAAAGAGCCAAGACACAACATCTTGACAAAGGACAACAACACCTGCACATCCCCGTGGGAAATGGAGGTGGAGACAGCCCTTTACGCTGATTGGTTAACATCACAGAACAGTGGAGAAGAAGGGTGGTCCCAGCATGAAAGAAAATGGAGAATGGAGACAGAAAGAGAGCTTGGATTTTAGAATGATTTTTGAGACTGATTTTTAGTATGGATTTTTGAGTTCCAAATGCTAGTTTTTACTGTTATGCTAGGATGTGGTTCAGAGTAAGATTAGAGAAAGGGGGGCTATGCCTAGCTTACCTTCTAAACTATTTCAGAGTTTTTTGTTTATTTTTGTACCTGGAATTTGCTAAGATTCTAACTGCTTTGATTTATGGAAATGTACTAGAATGCTATGCTTTTGCAACAAACTGAATATCTCTAAATTCTTTATTTTTCTAATAAAACAATAATTCTTAAAATCCTAAATTTGATCTCTTGAACAGCAAATCTGCAAATATTAAGTGTTAGGCCACAGAGATGCTACTTGGGTCCATTACTAACCTGAGTTTTGTTTGTTCTCCATTAATTGTTCTGTAGAACAGACTTGGGGAAAAAGGTAAGAGATACTGCTTGGCTGGGTTACCTGGACTCTGCTCAGCTGTTTTAGGAGTACACTTACACCTGGAACCTCTCCGTTCAAGCATCAGGTGTTCTTTTAGAAGACCCTGGGTGCTCGCACTCAGCAGTGGCCAGAGGATTGGAAAAGATCAGTCTACATCCCAATCCCAAAGAAGGGCAGTGCCAAAGAATGCTCCAACTACAGTGGGGTCTCTACTTAAGAACTTAATCCGTATTGGAAGGTGGTTCTCAAGTTGAAAAGTTCTTATGTTGAATCTGCATTTCCCATAGGAATGCATTGAAAACCATTTAATCCGTATCTGCTCTTTTCCGTCCATAGAAACTACAGTGGAA